GGCTGCTGGTACTGACCGTGTCACTTCCTTTTTCTGGTATCAGACTGCTCTGCCACCCGCAGGCTGCTACTTTTTGCTTCCACGGCCTAAATTAGCTACTATCTTGCCCTCTGGAGCTAAACACACACTCAAAACCACACACAGTTAGACCAAGGAGAACAAACAGAGCCGTCTGCCAAGTTGAAAATGCATCTGAAAATGGCTTTTTTGTCTTATTCAGGGAGTCAGTTACATCGAGTACCCTAATCATCTGTCTAAGAGCTGTGGGAAACCAGAAACTGCAGCTCAATTTGATCACTGCATGTTAGCTCTTTACATTGTTTTGTGTTATATTTCTATGCATATATTAATTGTCAAAAAATTTTAATTCATTTTTGGCCTTTTTTTAATGGTGTTTGGTAAGGCAAGCATCACTATAACTGTTGCTCCATGTATTATACTTAAGCAAAAAATCTGTCACTTAATGTCACTTAATAAATAAACTTTTTAGGTTTTAATTCATGTTTGTTTATTTATTAATATTAATTTGTACAATTTAAAATGTTAAAACTGGGTTGTTATATATAAAAAATAACTGAATTTAATTAAGTAATAAATGCTTTAATTTTGTTTGTTGTTATTTCAAGACAATGCATTATCTCATGTTGACAAACTGAACCTTATTGTTAAGTGTCATTGAAATTTATTTGAAATATTTCTAATTTTGTTCAGTTTGGCTATAAAAATGCTTATCCTGTCTTTGCAAATCACTGAAGAAATCATGTAAATTCATTAGTCTGAAGAAATTAATTAATCAGATTCTATAGCAAACCTAAATAAAGTTATGGTAACACTACAAAAACCCTTTATGGTATAATGCATTATAAAAGTGGTTTTAATGCATTAATTATGCCTTGTAATGCACCTTATAATGTATTGGTACGATCTCATGAATAATTGTAACCAATGTTAAATAACACTTATCAATTGATTGTTGGTATAATTATTTACGGCAAGATATAATGTGCAATGCACATTATGAATAATTATGTGTTATACCCTTTATTAACCCTTTATAATGCATTATACATAAAGGCTTTAAGTAATGTGTTACTCCTGAATTTCAGCAGTGTGCAGCATCTTTTGAAAATGTTAATTGGGAAATGTAATAATTTAGAAACAACACATTTTATTTGTACATTTAGAATGTTTTGAAATAGTAGCTTAAAATGAGTATTTGGCAGTATTACAAGTAGGGTTGCAAAAAGGTGGAAAATGTCCAGAAATTTTGGAAACTTTCCAGGATTTTTTGGAATCTTCCAGGGATTTTTTTGAAAGTTTCCAGAAATTTACCGGACATTTTCCATACCTTTGTAACCCTAAATACGAGGCGAACCCCTAGTGTTTAATAAATGCTAAGTTTAGTTTTTACCTTTTAAAAAAAAAAAAAAGGCTTTTTAGCATTACAGCGTACAACTCTCAGTAGGGAAAGCATTGCTGCCAAGCGTTCTGTGTCTTTTGTTTCGAGTAGCTGTTATCTGATGCACTAAACTAGTGTCACAAATTTCACGAGCGTCACAGAAACCAGTCAAACCTTTTTTTAGTTTACTTTTAAGACAGGAAACAGATACACATTAACAGAATCCAAGCCAGGATTTTATCTGCTGTTCGCTGCCAGTACAGCGCTGTCGTGTCTATTTATATGAGCTCACGCATTGATGTTTTACTTCTGATGAATTGATAAGTGTGTGTTAGTGGCCGTGAATCACTCCATTCATAAATGAACATCTGTGGCGCAGCAGATGCTGTTGCTCGGAGGACAGATGCGTCGGAATTTCACTTTGCGAGTGATTCACAGCCAGACTGATGAAACTCTTTCGTAGGAATGAAGATTGGCTGCATTACACACTGCCAGTTCACTATATCTCACTGAAATATTGATCTGTCACTGCAGACCACGAGGAACGGTGCTTTATGAACTAGTACTGTGACTTTCTCAGCTGCGGGATTGGTGTGTTTCATTAACTGCTTGAGTGCATTTCACTCAGGGAATTTGGCATTGTTCCTGATTTAAGAACCTCTTCAATTAGTTAATGACTTTAGTAAAATGAGATGCCATATTTATAGTCAAAATTAAATTTGAATTATTTACATATTTGATTAAATACACAGTCTTGGTCTTACTGTAAACTTAAAAAAAAAAAAAAAGATTAATTAAAATGTATTGTAACTTGCTCCGTCTCTTAAATGACTTTCCTTACAGATTACATCAACAAGCTCTTATTTATTTATTTATTTAATTAATATATAAGTTCTCCCCTTTAACTGGCTATGTTGCATCCACTTGTCACAATCCATTCAAATAGCATTGTAGTTAATTTGTTTTGTTGAACATGCTGTTTCTCTTGGAAATCAGATTATGAAGTAAAATCACTGCATGTTGACTTCAGCTTAATGCAAATGAAAATGAGGTTATTATGTCCGATAAATATACTTTAGTTAGTGTAAATAGTGTAAATGAGTATTGATTGCTCAGTCAACAAAACTTGGAAAGATGTCTTTCCAACATTTCAAGTGGACTAAAAACTTTGCATCACGTAAATTAAGAAAGTACTGTACTTCCTCTCAGTCCAAAAATGAAAAGTTGCTGAACCTTTACTTCGGGGAAATTTAAGACTACATCAATTGCCCCATGTGAAAACATCACAATAATCCACACGACTCCAGCCCATCAGTTAACATCTTGTGAAGTGAAAAGCTGTGTAAGAAAAAAAATCCATCGCAAGTCCTTGATCCATAATAACGCTTCCTCCGGCGAAAAAGTCCATCTCCTGTTGTCCTCGCATCAGAATCCACCAACATATTTAGAACAGTTTGGACTTGTAAACGGGGCTTAATCTGTGCATATTTCTCTCCTGATTCAGTCACAATGAGTGTTTCACTGGAGAGAGTAATCAATAGTTTGAAGTTAAAAATGCCTTGATAAATGTTTCTAACAAATGTGCAGCTTTTACTTCACAAGACATTAACTGATGGACTGGAGTGGTGTGGATTATTGTGATGTTTTTATCAGCTGTTTGGACTCATTCTGACGGCACCCATTCACCGCAGAGGATCCATTGGTGAGCAAGTGATGTAATGCTACATTTCTCCAATTCTGTTCCAATGAAGAAACTTATCTATATCTTGAGGGTAAAGAGAATTTTCTGCAGTTCCTTTAAGTATAGTGTCCACTCCAAGTCTATTAGAAGGGCAGTTGCTACACATGCTAACTGCTACTGTGCTCATAATTCAGTTGTTTTCACTCCTAGTTTATGCTTATTTTTCCTTTTTTGTACTCGTTCCTAAATGCTCTGTTACTAGTTCTACGAATTCGTCTCTGATACAGACACTGACGCTTAATATTAATAATTGATAGAGTTGAGTGCAGACGAGGTGTTGAAGGCTGAGTGTGTGTGTGTGTGTGTGTGTGTGTGAGACTTCCATACAGAGAGAGAGGGAGATACATTCCAGATGGTGGAATGATGAGGTGGGTTTCACTGGAACGTTAAACATTCCCAGGGATGTTTGCAGAGAGAAATTCTTCCTCGACTGCGAAGCAAGCATGTTTCCTTTTTATCCGATCTCTCCCTCTCATCTTTCTCTCGCCATCTCCCTCCCTTCTCTTGGACTCAGACTGTTGCTATCATCACCTGCTGCAACTGTTCGAACCCGTCACACAAGTCTCTTCGCTTTTCCTGACACACTGGCTCGATAAATTCATTTTATTAGTCTTTATTTCTAAAAGCTTTTTTAAAATTAGTATTGACTGACTGTATATATGTACGTGTGTGCTGGTGTGCGTGAGTTGAGGAACAGTCGTGGCCGTGCCGCAGACAGAATCAATAGCAGTCTCAGTATGGGTGTTTCCGAGTCTGTTTGGATTTGCTAAGTAAAGTCTGCAGCTCACCTGCACATCAACATTCTCTCGGCCCTTTAACCTCCTCCACACATTCCAGTTATTCTTACCGTCTCAGCTTTCTTCCATCTGGATGGGCGAACTGCTGTAGTTTTTGTGTGAATACCTCAAATGCTGTGCTCCTGCTCTCTAGTCGCCCTTCATTCCTGTCGTCGCATTTTCTGCTGCAGTCTGTCCTCTCTTTTTAGTTTTTCATCTCAATCAAATGTCTGTTTGCCCTCGTTTTCTTTTTTTCTTTCTCTTTATTGATCAATCAGTCAATCAAGTCAGAAGAACTTGTTTAGTTTTTCTTTTTCTTTTTTTAACTTTTGAGTTATTAAGCTGAATGTAGGCCAGCGGTGGGATGTGGATCAGAGTTTTTTTTTTTTTTTTACTTTGCATCTCTAATACTTTGTGAGCTTGATCTGGGAGTGCTGAGCGCCGTAAGAGCCGCGCTATGGATTTAAACATTTACTCTGCGGTTTGAACACGCTGAGATCCTAAAAATACAGAACTCGGAAATTAAAAACATATCTACCAGTATGAGACCTAAATCCCCCCCCCCACTCATTTTGTGCACTGCAGAAAATCATTTTATTAGTCATTTTCTTTAACGCACATGAATAAAATAAGCAATTTTGATAAGCAAAATTGCATAAGATGTTAAGATGCTAGTATTTGTTTTCAGAGAATGACTTGAATTAGGTTAATTGTACCTATCACATTGGTAAATTGTTGTCTCGTTTTAAGGATAAATCATTAATAAATACGCATATTTTTTATTAACTAAATTTAAAAAATTTATCAAGGGGATATGAAATAATTATAAAAATATATTAAAATATAATAGCTTAATTCAAGAGATATATTCTATAAAAAAATATTATAATAATTAGCCGTTAAATTTAAATCGATCTTGTTTTAAGGATGTTGAGATTTTTACTGGAAAACAATGAAAATTGCATTCTGATTCCAAACTCTATTTTATAACATAAATCACTGTGGTGATTTACATGTTTAGCAAATATCTATTTTGATCCAAAACGTCCAAATAACAATGTTTTTTCCTCTTTTCTCTCTGCAGTTCTGTGCGCAAAGAACCTGGTGAAGAAAGACTTCTTCCGTAAGTATCCGACCTTCATAAATACTGAGAAAGTGTTTCTGAAATCGAGTGAACTATTCCTGTCAGCATATCTCAGCGCAGTGTTTTAGCAGAGGCTCATCTGTTAAAAGTGTGCAGAGAGAGATAAGTGCTCTTCCCCCACGAGACACCAGAAATGTGGGTCAGTTCGGGGAGACAAAGCAACCGCTGCTTGACACATGTATACTTGCCTCCACTCTCTCTATACCCTGACAAACGCAAACAACCAAGCCCACATCTGAATCGCTGATCAGATATTAAAGAGAGAGACAGACGGTGTTGGGAGGAGGGAAGAGAGACGGGTACCAGGCCAGACTGATGAAAAGAGGAGAAAGTCAAAAAGGGAGTTGCAAAAATGTGATGCTTGTAGAGGAATGAGGTTTTGCAAGACTGTATGTGGTTAAATTAAGACTACAATCCTATAACGTAAAATGTGTGACATTTTCAAAAAAATGAAGGGACCTTAATACTTTCCGAATGCACAGTAAATAATAGTATATATTGTTGTGTGGGAGTAACACAGGAATCGAACAAATGACTTGATAGTCACTGTTTCCTGTATTAGTGCATCTGTAGTATTTGGAGTTTTATTATTTTTGGACTTTTGGGTTTCAGATTTCAAACACAATTTCAAACCACATTATGAACTAAATGATCTTGTATTCAGTGCTGTCTTCAGTTCCTGCTCAGAAGTCTCAGTAAACGTTGTTTGTGTATTTTGCAGGACTGCCAGACCCCTTCGCTAAGGTGGTGGTGGACGGTTCAGGGCAGTGCCACTCGACAGACACAGTGAGGAACACGCTGGACCCCAAATGGAACCAGCACTATGACCTGTAAGAGCTCTTCCTGGTCTGATTGCATTCAAACACAGCCAGTGGCACACCTCGATTCCCTTTGCACTGATGCCAGCTCAGTTTAAACCTGAGACTATAATCTTCAGATAGCAGAATCAAGAAGACCACCACTCAGAAGCAGATCTCATTTCGAAGCACATGGTCATCTGTCCACTTGTTTGAGTCTTAGAGATTTGGCTTCCAGCGCTGCAGCTCTGTTCTGTAGGGGCTTAGTGTCAGGCTCTGTCATTAGATGCCTCATGTGTGGTTCATTTTGGCCCTTTTTCTGCGTGAGTCACCCAGAGCGATTGAGCCTGTTTTTGACATCACATTTAAGTGTGCTTATAGATTATGCTTTACTTACAACTGGGTTTAAAACCAAACAGGAAAAAAATGAAAGAAAACAAACAAATCAAGCCAGTATGATTCCATAATATGGAATATTCAAGCATTACAGAATATTCTGCCATTATATTATTGCCATGGTCTTTCTGTTCTGTAGGGGCTTAAGAGTGTCAGGCTCTGTCATTAGATGCCTCATGTGTGGTTCATTTTGGCCCTTTTTCTGCGTGAGTCACCCAGAGCGATTGAGCCTGTTTTTGACATCACATTTAAGTGTGCTTATAGATTATGCTTTACTTACAACTGGGTTTAAAACCAAACAGGAAAAAAATGAAAGAAAACAAACAAATCAAGCCAGTATGATTCCATAATATGGAATATTCAAGCATTACAGAATATTCTGCCATTATATTATTGCCATGGTCTTTCAAATCTGTATATTGTTTTCTGCTGTGAAAAAAAGGATATTTTGGAGAATGTTTTTCCATACAATAAAAGTGGGTCCTCCTTATTTTATTTCATTTCATCTCATCTCATCTCATCTCATCTCATCTGCCAAGCAACAAAAAAGAAAAAACACACTATAGAAGTTGTTCATGCAACTTGTGTAAATTATTTCAAGTCTTCTGAAACTAAACGTTAGCTAACTGTAAGAAAAAACCAAATTGATTCATTGCATCCTCCCTTAACCTCAACATCTCTTTTGCATTTCTGTATATTATGCATGTCACACTCAGGAACCAATGACAGTATGTTTGAATTTACGCAATTGAGATTTGAATTCTGCGATGGTGGGGAAAATCACCTACAAACATAGTTTGTGTTGACCACTTTTATGGTGCGTTTTTTCCCCTCGTTTAAGCTCAACATTAAAATGTCCAATTTATTGTATGGAAAACATTTTTTCTAAATATCTTTCATTTCCGTTCAAAATTACGTGTTCATCCAAAGAAAGAAAATCATGAACGGCATGATGGTGTGTAAACAATTTGTGGGTGAACAAACCCATTAACATGCACTTTCAAATAAGCCCAGGGGTTTTTCTTGAACCGGCGGTGTACGATTTCTTCCAATCTCTTCATCAGTGTAGCCCATCAGTAAAGCTCCCAGCATCCTTCAGGCTTTGAGGATTTAGGTCACCTCCTCTGGAGTTGACGGCTCTATCTGTGGAGATCACAGGACGGATTTCCATGGGTGCAAAATCCCATAACCTTTCGTTATACCGTATGCCTCTAGCTCTATTTACATTTTTTAAGAGGTTTTATCTCCAACTATGAGTATCAACAGTTTCACAGCATGGAATAAAAATAGAAACTGTCCCTCTACACAGGCTTGTCGCTTTTCCCACAGACCAAAAGCAAAACTTAAGAGAAGATGCAAAGCACTAAAAACCGACATGCAAGGAAAGGCCGGCAAAAAAAAAAAGAAGGGGAGCAGATTTCCAATACTTGTCCCGTTCTCATGTCGTGCTGACAGTCGGCAGCTAGAGGAAGCACACGTCTCCATTTGTTTGGTTGCCAGGGCAGCCGTAGACTAGCCCTCACCCCCCAGGAAGGCCTTCAAGTTCGCCAAACATGTCACGTCTGTCAGCAGAAAATAGGCCGCCGTTCCACAGCCCACTCCGAAACCTGGAATAATGGGTGGGGAAGAGAAAACCAAGGAGATGTTGCTTAAATTCTACATCTGAAATACTGGGGATCTCTGTTCGCCATCTGGGTTTTAATAAGTGCTTTGAACTCAAGTTATAAATTAGTAAATCTGTGATTCCCGTAATGCACATCACAGTTGTCTTTTTGTTGGCAGGGAAAACAGTTGCCATTTTCTGAAATGTTGCCATTGTTGAAAGGTTATTGAGCTGTTTGGTAAAGGCCGGCAAAAAAAAAAAGAAGGGGAGCAGATTTCCAATACTTGTCCCGTTCTCATGTCGTGCTGACAGTCGGCAGCTAGAGGAAGCACACGTCTCCATTTGTTTGGTTGCCAGGGCAGCCGTAGACTAGCCCTCACCCCCCAGGAAGGCCTTCAAGTTCGCCAAACATGTCACGTCTGTCAGCAGAAAATAGGCCGCCGTTCCACAGCCCACTCCGAAACCTGGAATAATGGGTGGGGAAGAGAAAACCAAGGAGATGTTGCTTAAATTCTACATCTGAAATACTGTTCGCCATCTGGGTTTTAATAAGTGCTTTGAACTCAAGTTATAAATTAGTAAATCTGTGATTCCCGTAATGCACATCACAGTTGTCTTTTTGTTGGCAGGGAAAACAGTTGCCATTTTCTGAAATGTTGCCATTGTTGAAAGGTTATTGAGCTGTTTGGTAGTTTTGTTATTTTCGTTGAATGTCAGGACCAGAAGAATGTCAAAATCATTTAATGATGAAAGATTGACAGGGCTAAAAACCTCCCAGGGCTGCATGTTGAACTGGAAGATAACTGCTAATGTGTGGAATGAAGAATAGAAAAAAAAAAAAACTTGCTGATAACCGAAAACAGTGCCAGCAGAGATTAACATTTACATTTTATATTCATGCATTTAGCAGATGCTTCTATCAAGAGCGACTTGCGATAGAGGAATAAGCAATAAGATTAAAACATTAACCTAGATGTGAGGAGACTTAAAAAACGAAAGCGGGAGAAGATGCGCTGGATATTTAGGTCAGAACATCAGTTTTGGGAGATGTAAGGCAAAAGAAACAGACTTTAGGAAATGTAGACTTGTAAAGGGAACAATGCACAAACACAATGCTAAACTATTGAATGAAGTGAGCTCCAAGCTTGACTATTTCTTAAATCCTGGTTAGTTAGGTGACCTGCTCTAATATTATATCTAATGCTTTGTTTGTGTATAAAGGTTGTATCTCTTCATATAAATCTATGTGTCCTGTTAAAATCAATTTGTGATGGGTGGTCGCCAAAGTAGTATTAGTACATTTTCAAACCAATTTTTTTTTTATTATCTTTATTTTGTTTTTGTTTTCTGGTCAATGTTGTATAACTGTCTTGAAGTGGGAAAATATAGAAATTAAGTAGCCATAATTAAGTAGCAAAATTAGTAGTAGCTAAAGCTATAAGTAGCCATAATCTTGTGTCCTTATTTATTGTATTCTTACTGGAGTAGAGTGGTTTTACTTTAAACTAATTAATAATGTAAAAAAAAATTACTCTTTAAAGAAACAAGATTTTAACATTTTTTTGTTGGATACCTGGCCATATGGGATTGGTCGGCAATGATCAGGCAGAAAAGTGGCTAAGGAAGCAGTATTTCTGATGGATCATGTGACAGTGGAGACTGGAGTAATGGCTGATAAAAAATTCAGCACTGCATCACAGAAATGTTATATTTTGAAGTATATTAAAATAAGAAACCAATATTAGAAATTGCAATAATATTTCACAATATTACTAATTTTATCATTTTTTTTAATATTAATCATTTTCTCAATATTGTTTTACTGTATTTTTGATCAAATAAATACAGCCTTAATGAGCATAAGAGACTCCATTTAAAAAAAAAAAAACTAAAAAAATCTTAGTGATCCCAAACTTTTGAACAGCAGTTTATGTATGTGTGTGTCTTTAGTTGATGTTTATGGTCACATCTTTTTTACTTGAGTATTTCGGTACGTTTTCAGACACGTTAAATTAAGAACTTTGGTTAAAAGGGTTTTTCAAAATGAATTCAAAGATTACATTTGTATAAGCTTGCCAAATATGCTTTAAATGAGATTTTAAATAAAAATATTGTCATTGTATTTATTACCACATTTACCGAGTTAAAGGTGGGGTAAGTGATTTCTGGTAGCCAATGTTGATATTTCAAATCACCAAAACAAACACGGCTCTACCCCAAAAGGGTCTCGCTCCGCCCCACACATACGCAACCCAGGCAACGATTATGGCGGAATCTGCTGTATTAAACATATTATCTTACTTTTCGGACACACTTTGGGAGCTGACGCTTGAAACAAACAGTGGAGGAGGTTTAGACGCTCTAGGCTTTTAGGGTGTGGAAATGAATGTGTCTTTATCATAGCTGGGAACGACAATACGATTGCAGATGAACAAACAAGCGAACATGACACATGATCATATTCAAGCAAAACCAATGTTACTCGCCTATCGAGAAGAAACAAAGCTACCTCAGCGTCCGATCGCAGGCCTTCCCGCTCCTTGAGTTCTCTCCAGCGCTGGAAAGCTGATCCGAAATTTACACGGGTCCTACTACTTGCCTTATCGTAAGCTTACTTTTGTTCCGCAGACGTTTTCCTCTTCTGTTTTTTTTTAATCCGCCATCTCTATCTTTCTGTCACTCGGCTCGCTAATGTCCGTTCTGTGCACTCAGCGCTCTCTCCTCTGCATCATGAGTAGACACGCCCCTTACTGCTGATTGGCTACAAGTTTCTTTTGGTACCCGGCCCGACTCAGTTTTCTAAAGCGTTTTTGAAAAAATACATACCCCACCTTTAAGGTTGTTGGAGTTTCCTGGGAAAGTTCAGAAACAATCAGTGAGGTTTGATGAAGGGTTATCAGAGAAACCTAAAATGCACTAAACCATAATTATCTGTGGTTAAGGGTTGACAGCGCAGGTTTCGGTTTATTGTTTTGCCTTTTGTTTTGTACTGTAATCCTTTGGTCTGGTTGGGTAACTTGTTGCTACAAGCTCTTGTCTGATATAAGTAAAATTTGTGTATAAGTATTGTGTATAAAGGCTGTTATGAGCTCAGACCTCAGAGCTGTTTTTTGGCTCTGTAGACGGTTGATAAACGTTCTCCAGATCAGAGAGAAGAACTCTGATTGTTTGGGTTTTGTTGGACTCATTCTGGTGAGAACATCCACACAGTCATTGGCGTTCTGTCTTCTTGTTTCTTTCATCCTACCCCTTTTTCTGCCCTTTCTCTCTTCACTCCTCTACCTCTTCGATTGGTTTTCAGTCCAAACAAGGTCTGTTGCCCAGGGATTCTGTCCCATTGGCAGGCTTACAGAACGTTCAGACTTTGCTTGGACATTTTTTGACAGCCTAGCTCCGTTTGATGTCCAGTTCTGGAGGTGTTTCTGTTCCCCTGAATTTAAGGGAATCATTTGTATTGTCTAACACCATGCCAGAACATTCAGACAAACCAGCTGAGCTTTATGTCGGACTTGATGAAATGCATGTGGCGGTGAGAGAGCAAGAGAGCTGCATGGGATCGCTTGAAGTTCTTGAGCTTCTTCGTTAGTTTTGCTGAAGGCATGAGAAGATTTGAGGTGTTTTTACCTCAAAAGGACCAAACAAAATTAGACAAAGTCATCAATGAAGTGAAAACGATCCCAGTTCTCTACACTCTTACTACTTCCTGTTCTTCATGTTTAGTTTTTCCTGCTTACGGTTTTTATCTTCATCTACTTCCTTTGTCACCTTCTTTGTCTTCACAATCTTATTCCTTTTCATTGTTGCCCTCTTCCTCGCCACCTTCTTCATTGATTTCTATCTACTTTGACATCTTGCTCTTTTATTATCTTCATCTTCTTCCTCTTTGTAGTCTTCATTTGATTGCCGTCTTTTTCCTCTTCATCATCTTTTCCCTCTTGCTCTTCTTAATTTTCATCTACTTCCTCCTCCTGTCATCATCTCGCTTTTCTTTTTAATCTTTCTCTGTTGCTTTTTCATTGTCTTCATCTTCATCTACTTCCTGTACCTCTTCATCTACCTTTTGTCATTTTTCGTCTTCCTCTTCCGTGTCTTCTTCCTCGCCTTTTTCTCTTCTACTTCCTTTTCCTCATCTCTGTCATTTTTACTTACTTTGTCATCTTCCACTTTTTCTTTGTTGTCTTCCTCTTCTTTGTCATTTTAATTTGCTCTATTCTCTAATTTACTCTATTCTCTTTGTCATCTTGGTCTTCTTCCTCATCTTCTTCCTCTTCTAAGTCTGCCATCTTTCTCTTTTTTCCCCTCATCTTTGTTGTCTTTCTCTTCATCTTCTGACTTTTCCTGTTCTCCCCCGTTACTTCCTCTTTGTTGCCTTCTTGCACTTCTTTGTCATCTTTCTCTTCTTCTCTTCCTCTTCCTCTTCAGTATTTATTTTTCTTCTTATACTGACGAGTTATTCGTCTTCATAATTATCTTCAGTGTTTTTGTCTTCCTTGTTATCCTGTCGTTTTTCTGACATCATCTGGACCATCTGATGACATGATAGAAAATGTTGAAATCTGACGTCTCTTGTTATGTCTTCAGGTATATCGGGAAGTCGGACTCCATCACTATCAGTGTGTGGAACCATAAAAAGATCCATAAGAAACAGGGAGCGGGATTCCTGGGATGCGTACGACTCCTCTCCAACTCCATTAACCGACTCAAGGACACAGGCTGTAAGTGTGTGTGTATGATTGGCTCAGAAACAATCTGTTAGTGTGTGTGTATAATTAGCTCAGACAACATGGGTCTTTGTGTGTGTGTGTGCGTGTGCATGTGTGTGCGCGTGTGCGTGTGTGTAAAACTTGCTCAGGCAAATTTCAAGTGTATTTTTGTGTGTGTATAATTGGCTCAGTATGTACTACAATGGCTATGTGTGTTAAGTGGGCAAACTTTAAATAAAACACACAACAACAATGTTTTTGGACAAAATAATATATCTTACTTTGGCTGAAGACCACTGTCTGTCTCAGGTAGAAGACGTCCTGTTATTTGTGTGTCACTTTCCTGTCGGCTGCACAAGAACCTGTGTTTTTTGCTGGTGGACTACAGTAAGTCAGTATGTTTAGGGTACGAGTCTGTCTGGCTGCGTTCCAGCCCCACGCTTGTGTTTAAGACAATTATAAAAGCAGGCTTTCCCTAGAAACCCTCCAGCGTGACCACTGTCCTGGATAAGCACAGGAAACCCACAGCTGGAAGTGATTGAGTTCACCATTTCCTGTTGCACCCCTTCTGTCTCTCCGCCATCATTCTTTCTCTGTCTTTTCTCATTCTCACTCTTTATCTGTCTCCAGTTCAGTCTGTCAGTAATAATCACGGTCTTAAGTAGGAAATGATTATTTAATAGAAATTTTGTTCTTAGATTTTTTTTTTAGTTAATATAAATTCACAGAAATATCACATCTTGCTTTTTCGATTAATTTTCATCTGTTTCCTCTTCCTATTTGTCACGAACTTCTTTTTCTTGCTCTATATAGAAATATAAATTTCTATGTATTTCCATATATATTTTTGTATAGAATATATATATATATATATATATATATATTCAAATAGTTCCTATTTCAATGTCTATTTGTTACAGTTAGTATTTTTTCATAATTTATACATTTTGTGTATGTTTGGTATATATACAGAAATGTGTATCTAAATATATAATTTTTTATATATTTCTATTCTTTTTTTTCGTTTCGATAATGTCTATATCTGTTTAAATACATATTAATATAATATATTTTTATATTATAAAAAAAAAATTCCAAGTTAAAGATAGATTTCTGAGAGCCGTGTGTGAAGTATTTGGTGTGTAACTTTTTTGTTGTTACAATTACAGTAACTTTACAAAAATTTATAGTTTTTGACTATATCATAATATAAAAATAGCCAAAATTGGGCTGATAAAATTATAAGCTGCACAATGTACCAGTGACCACTGTATTAATATGTCAATAGTACACTTTTCTTCTTTTTTTATTATGAAAGTACATAAAATGCGTGGTGTACTGGTGACAGCTGCATTATTAAATATTATTAGATAGTTTTCATAAACTTTTTTGTTATCGTGACTAATCTGGTTAATTATTATTTTTATTAAAAAAAATAATAATTTTAATTTAATCATTTTTGAATTGCCATTGTTCCCTATCAGTGTATCCCTAGTCTTTAGTAAAAGTTACATTCAGCCATAAAACCATCGTCATCATTCTTCGCAGGTGTTTGACCATATGAAGGAGTTTAAATGTGAGTGTGTTAGGATGGGTGAACGCTCCTCCAGCCTTGTTTAGTCTAGCTGTGCATCCTGATCTGACTGAGTGTGTGTGTGTGTGTGTGTGTGTGTGTGTGTGTGTGTCTATGTGAGTGTGAGAACAGATAGGGGCCTCTCTAATGTCTGCAGGCTACTTGTTATTCCTGTCTCCCTCTTTCCGGCAATGACAGAGAGCCCCAGCGTGTTTCTGGAAGCATCTCACTCCTATCAGCACATCTACAGTCTGAGAGGAATAAAGCAGCCTCTGTGTGTACACACACACACACTGATACAGAGTGCTGCAGTTTTTTAATTGATATTTTTTTAAATGCATTAATTTATTAAATGCATAATTTTTTAAATTAATTTTTTAATGCATGCAAATATTGTTATTTATTTATTTTTACCATTTTTAAAAATCACCTTTTCTCTTTAAAATGGATAATTTATAAAAAATGCAGTATCTGTATCTGACAATATGGGTTGGGCTTTTTTAATTGATCATTTTTTAATGCATTATTTTATTAAAGGCATACTTTTTTTACATTCATTTTTTAAAAGCATGATCCATATCTGTATTTGCAAATACTGTTTTTTTAACCAGTTTTTTAAATCACTTTTTTCTATTTAAAATTGATAATTTATTAAAAATGCAAGATCTGTATCTGACAATATGAATTTTTTTCCAGCTGATGAATGATAAAAAACTGACAGCCAATCAGAATCCATCCTGCTGTAACAAGCTCGAGAATTTAAAGCGCAGACGCGTGTGTGCTTAGAATAAACAGAAGATATCGTTCACTGGTGTGGACGCTAATATCGTTATCTTTATAGTTATCGTTCTTGGTGTGACCTGGGCTTAAGATGATTTACTGGTCTTAATCTGGTCGTTTGCCTGGTTTTAGAAGGATATTCAGGCGTTTTTCAGCTGGTTAAGCTGGGTGACTGATTCAAATTAGTTTTATTTATTTATGTTTTATTTCTATTTCTATTTAATTTATCGTTTTGCTTTTTATTATGATTTTACTTTTATGTTTTACTTCTGTTTTTATTTTCTGTTTTTTGTTTTTTTATTATGATTTAAAATAATTATTTTATAAATTTTTACTTTTTAATCTTTCATTTATTTTAATTTATTGTAAGTTTATTTTTTGTTTTTGTTTTACTTTATTAAATTTTCTTTTTTATAAATATTTTCGTATTTTTGTTAGAGGTGCAAATGGTTTGCAAACTGAAATAAAGTCTTGTAGGAGGATCAAGGTATTTTGGCTTGCCTAAATTACTTTCCAGGCCATTGGGTTTGGTGTAGTTTTGTTGAATAGGACAGACTAGCCTAAGATGGCTTGATGTCTGATCTGTTGGCTGGGTTTAAAGGGATTTTTTTGTTTTTGTTTGTCAAGCTAATCACCAACTTATCCACTCTTTCTGGGAGACCATTTTAAACCAGTTAAGATCAGCAAACTAACTTTTGGCTGGTTAATTTATTTTTTTTTGCCAGCAAACCAAACGATGTAAAAAGACTTCATTTTGTAATTTCAGAAAAAAAACTAAATTTGGAAACTAGAAGGTGTTTTCAAGAACTAAGATGTTTCATCATTCCAATATTTATGATAATATTTATTTTAAAAATGCAATGTAATCTTTGGTTCGTTTGAATTTCACATTTACATTTTACTTACACATTTATCAAACACTTTTATTCAAGGGACTCAAAACTTTACATTCAAAACTTTGCCTGGGAATCGAACCCATGACCTTAATGTTGCTAGCGCCAAACATTTAAACTATTTTAATGTAGTCTGTTGTCCCTCATGCTCTCATTTCCTCTTTCACACGCACAGGCCTGCGTCTGAGTACTCGAGCCCCGGCCGGCCGCTCAGCTGTTTGGTGGATGAGAACACGCCCATCATGACGCCCAACGGGGCAGCGGGCGTACCTGCGGATGACCCCCGGGTGCAGGAGCGGAAGGTTCGCTCTCAGAGACACAGAAACTACATGAGCAGGACTCACCTACACACTCCGCCCGACCTGCCTGAGGGATACGGTTCGTTCAAACACACACACACACATCAGTTCTTCCATTAATACTGGCCAGCTTGCAAAAGTCAAAAATGCACCCTGCGCACACACACACATATGTACTTGCGCTGGAAATTTGTGCTGCAGCAGGAGTAATTAAAACGTCTCTTGAGCTGTAGAAAAGGAGCTCGTCTGAAATATTTCCGACGTGCCGTCAGCGCCAGCTGCAGGGTCAGACGGGTGACCTGGAAATCCCGCTATGTCTGTGTGCATGTGTGTGTGTGAGTCCGTGGAGAGATTCAGAGGGCAGAGGTTATAGACAGGTTAAACAGAGTTCTGTGTGCTGTCCTCAGCTCAGATAGCTGAATGTGAGTCTGTAGACATGAGATGCAGGTCAAGTTCATGTGTGGAACAGGGACTTTATGAGATGGGCTGGGTGATATATCAGTATACATAAAAACAACAAATTCACTGTCAATAATAAACTTTCAAGTATTTTTCTGATATTTAACCCACATCTTGACGATCTGGTTTGTTGTGAGTGGCTAAAAAAATTTCAGCTAACACTTTAGTTTAGGGACCGATTCTCACTATTAACTAGTTGCTTATTAGCATGCCTATTATTAACATATTGGCTGTTTATTAGTACTTATAAAGCAGATATTCTGCATGACCATATTCTACATCTCTAATCTTACCCAATGCCTAAACTTAACAACTACCTTACTAACTATTAATAAGCAGCAAATTAGGAGTTTATTGTTGTAGTTAGTGAGAACTGGACTTTAAAATAAAGTGTGACCAAATTTAAAAATATTGTATTGTTCACCATTTTACCATTTGTGACTCTGCACCACAAAACCAGTCATAAGGGTCAATTTTTCAAAATTAAGATTTATACATCTTCTGAAAGCTGAATAAATATGCTTTCCATTGAGGTATGGTTTGTTAGGATAGGACAATATTTGGCCGAGATGCAACTATTTAAAAATCTGGAATCTGAGAGTGCAAAAAAAATCTTAATATTGAGAAAATCACCTTTAAAGTGGTCCAAATGAAGTTCTTAGCAATGCATAGTACTAATCAAAAATTAAGTTTTAAGTTTAACAAAATTTAAGTTTAACAAAATATCTTTATGGAACACGATCTTTACTTAATATCATAATGATTTTTGGCATAAAAGAAAAATCAATAATTTTGACCCATACAATGTATTTTTGGCTATTGCTACAAATATACCCCAGCGACTTAAGACTGGTTTTGTGCTCCAGGGTCACATTTTAATTTGCTAAAACTATCTGAAAATACACACAGAAATGCAAAGATCTTCAGAACAAACCACTGAATTAAAAGCTTGGTTTAACTTTAGTCACTGACAAAACTATATTACTATTATATAGTAGTAGATTGTGCTTTTTAATGTAATAATAATATATGTAATGGTTTAATACTATTTTATTTTAAAATGATTTTTTAAGGATTATCATGCAACCAAGATATTTTTTCATCAATGTTTTAATTTATACAGTATATAATTCTGTCAATAAAAATGCAATGTTTTGTTGTAAATTAATTATGTTTTAAAAGATTGATTAAATTGTTAACGTTCTACGAATTATTTTCATTAGTCAACATTTTTCATAATAACTTTGTATTAATTAATCAAACACATGGGGCCCTAAATTAAAAGGTAGCTTATTCTGTGGAGTTTATTTTAAAAAATTATTTTTACATTCATGTGAAATGCATTTTCTTCCCTATTAATAGTATGAAATGAACATCACGTTAAATATCAATGTCAGTCGATATGGGAGAAAATATATAGTGATAATACTTTGAGAGTTTATTGAAGGTGATTTGTCTGAATCTGTGACTTCATCTCCATCATTTCAAAGCCACCACACAGATAAATCACACAGATTCATTAAAGAAAGAAAAGCCCCATAATATGGAAGATTAACATGATCTTTGTTGGTTTTGTGTTAACATCAATTAAAATGAATCTTCTTGTTTATATTTAGCTATTATTTTCTCTTAATGAGGATTCTTTTGTGTGATGCGGTGAATCAAACTGAAAGTGAAAGAACGAAAGTCATAAACAATGATTGTATTTGTCATTTGTTCACATTGTGAATGACCGATGGTGCCCCCTGGTGTTTGTTGACAGAGCAAAGGACCACGCAGCAGGGTCAGGTGTACTTCCTGCACACGCAGACGGGCGTCAGCACATGGCACGACCCCAGAGTGCCCAGGTACCTCCTTTTCCTTTTTACACGTTTATTACTGTTCAGATTTTTTCACTTGTTTAACTTCTATTTTACACTGGATTTGTTTGCAAACCTTGTCCTAACCAAATGCAATGCATGAAGTCATTTTTTTGTGACAAAATCAAAACATCAATGTGTTATATACAGCTATTTGACCAATCAGATATTACTATTAGTGAAAAATGCCTCAAAGCTCAGTGCCGTTAACTGGTTTGGACAAAAAGTGAGAAGACGTGAACTTGGAAGCTCTATATGCGGGGATCGTTTAGCCAGTGTTTGTGTAGGCAAAGCTGCTTGTCATTTATCCGAGTGCATGAACGTGATTGAAAAAATGAGGGTGGGCTACGGGTTATTTTTCTAGTCTTTTCAGAGTTGACATTGAGCATTTTTGCAGTGCGGCACATTTTTTGCTCTATTAGTTTGATGATATTTGGCAGAAGCCTGAAAGCAACATCCCTGAAGTTTGTTTTGTCTCATTTTTTTACTTTGTCTTTTTGATCTTTGTATTGTCTCTTTTCTCACTTTGTTCTTGTTGTTTTTTTGTCTTCCCCTCCACACGTTTACTCGAACTTCAGTCTGAGGAGCATGTTGAAATGTAGTTAAGCTATATGTTATTGCTATTTTATGAATACTAGTCATTTTCATTTCCACTAATATCATTTCCACTATCAAATCATGATTATCATGATACAAATTATTATTATTTTATATTAAAAATATATAGTGTTTTTTCATAATTTAAGTTATCTTAAAGACAAAGGTACAATCTTTATATAAAGAATTTAAAAATGTAAAAATGGTGAAAGTTTATTACGACTTGTAATAAACTTTCACCATTTTTTCACCACCAACTTTGACTTATACGACTTATATTTTTATTTAAATAATGCAAGCAGTGAATCCAATTTGATTTGTTGAATGAATATTTTCAAATGTGGATACATTTTATGTGTCCTACATATACAGTATAGAGAAAAGCAAAAAATAATAATTTTAATTAAATGATATTAAAAAAAATGTTTTTATTAAAAATCACCTCTATAACATGAAACTTAGTATGTTGCTGAATCATCCAGCGAAATAAGTAGAAATATATTCCAGATGTTTTTATGCACATTATGCTTCCCAAATGGCTCTGACATTGTCTTTGAAATACTGTACTTAATGTAATGATATTATAACTATAGAACATAAGTAGTATTATAATTAAGGTATCATAATAATTTATCATCTCAACAAGGAGAAAACTCCCGTTCTGTGTGCAAGAGCACATAAACAGCTTTAAAAAATCATAATATTAATAATATTATGATCATGTTAATTTAATGATTACAATAATCATAATATGTATAATTATATTCCTAATAATTAGTCTGCGCCTCTCTCCCTGCAGGGATCTCAGTAATGTGAATTGTGAGGAGTTGGGCCCATTGCCTCCAGGCTGGGAGATAAGAAACACAGCCACCGGACGAGTGTACTTTGTGGACCACAACAACCGGACCACACAATTCACAGACCCGCGTCTCTCCGCTAACCTGCACCTCGTCCTAAAGTGAGTCAGACTCAACCAGGTGCCATTTAACCTAGAAACCACTAAAGACAGGAACTAGCCGCACAATGTGCGTGACGCTGTGGTATTGCTGAAGTCTCATCCTGTCGCGTTTCACCTTTATTCCTACAGTCCCAGTCCGAATGGCTCCCGTGGTGCCGTTGAGGCTCAGAGCAGGTAAGGAATTAATTCGGACTCTCTGCAGTCGGAGCATTTTATCTCTGTTTTATTTGCGTGCGAGCTTGTGTGTGTCGTGTGAGCCAGAGGAATGCATTAATGGGGAGGGATCGAGTTTCTCTTTCCCTGTCCTGACAGATCAAAGGACGTGTCCCACATTCCGTCTTCCCACTTCATGTTCTTGCAGTAAGCAGAATATTCGGTGGAGTACGGATGAAATCTCACAAGTCTGGGAATATCAGTTCACGTAGGAGCTCGCAAATGAAGTATTGCACCTGTATAGTATCTTTTCACAATATGAAGCATCTACCTTTTAACCAGGATGTTTGAACTGGGGTAGATCAATATGGCTTTTTCAATTAGCATTGCCAATATTTAGACAATAATTTTAAAAAAAAAAGGAAAGTATGTACTGTAAAAAATTAGGGCTGTCAAACAATTGATTGTGAATCATCGCATCCAAAATTAAAAAAGTTTTTGTTTATATAATATATGTGTGTGTGTAATGTGTATATTTATAATACACACACATGCATGTATATACTTTAAAAATATGGATATGTGTATGTATATATTTTATATGTAAAGATAAATATTTTATATACAAATATAACATTTTTCTTAAATATGTACATGCATGTGTGTATTTACATACATAATATGTAATAATATACATAATAAATATACACAGTACACACACACATATTATGTGTAAACAAACTTTTTATTTTGAATGCGATTAATTGTTTGACAGCTCTGTTTGAAATTCAAACCTCTGTTAATCGACCAAGCAGGGATAATTATCACCCAAAAGGTATAAAATAGAGTAAAACAAATAAAGATAAGGTACGAATTTAAAAGATAACCAAGGTAATACTTTAAAAGATCAAGTTTAAGATAACAAATAAAGTCAGAGTAGTGAGAAAATATTACTCCTATAATAATTTAGCGTAATTTGTTTATGTATGAATTATCTATTAAATAATGTAAGCAGTGAAGCCAGTTTTCTTTTATTTTGTGGATAACATTTTAAAAATATTAATATTATATTTTAAAAATACAGTACTTGAAAAGAATAATATTTGAAAAAAACTTTTTTTTTTATAGATATATATATTTTATATTTTTTTACATATTTACCGGGTTAAATTGAGTAAACTTAATAGTACTACATAACATGTATGACTCAGACATGCATGATATGTATTAAAAAAAAGGAGGAAGAAAGAAAAACACAGTTACAAAAAAAATGATGTAAACATGCCTTTTTTCGTAGGTGGAAACAGTCTTCCATATAATGGAGCTAATCTTAAACTGACAAATAATGATCTATTGCTAGTTTTGATCAGCTGTTTGACAATAGTACTAGAGAGATTTAGTCATTTGATAATCCCTAATGAATATTTGTTTAGTAAGAGCTTGTAGCATTACAACTATGAGCATGTTTATGTTATGTTCATGACATTTAGGGCAACCAATTATCCTTTGAGAAAACACCCTAGCAGTCGCCATACGGTGTATATAGTAGTACAGTAAGAAACTGTTTTTAGTTGTTGTTTTTCACATAAATATGAGATTGTCCACCATTCACAGCAAGTCTGAAATGTACTGAAACTTTAGGCCAGCACACACTTAAATATTTCCAAAATGATTTTCTAAAATACAAAATCTCAATGAGCTATGAATATATTGCAGATAATAGAGCAACAAAAGTGTGCAATATACCACAATATAGCTTAGAATAATTATAAACTAGACAGAACCACAATATGTTAATGATTTAGATTTAGATTTTATATCGCATTGCCATGTTTTCCACACTGAGATACCAGACCTCAGTGCGAGCAGATCATTTGCATTGAGACGTCATCCGTCAAGTGAACGAACTGTCAAGGCGTTCCTGGCGCTGCAGTAGTCTCACTTTTAATCAGACAGATTATGTGAATATCTGTCGAAACATCTGCCTTTTATCAGCGCAGAAGATCTCACCTCTCTGTCATCAGGCAAAAATCCTCTCTGCTGTGTGCTTTCCTCTCAACCTTGATAGGTTTATGATCTCACGCTCAGTGGGTGATTTTAAGTGCGTGCTGGGAGCTTCGGGTGGGAGGGTGATTAGGGCTGTGCGTGTGTGCATGCTTCAGTTGCTGTCGTCTTTTGATGGATCCACCCTCTTGATCCACATCCAGCATTTCAAGGATCACTAATGGTCACTAATGGCAAAAAAAGAGATCCAAAAATGTGCCATCTGGGTGTTTCGGTAAATGACATGAAGCTTGTTATTCAAAAATATATGAAATATGCCATTTTTATAGATATTAATTGGAATACGTCTTATTTAATAAAAATGTTATTAAAAATATATTAAATATGCAATTCTTGTAGATATTAATTGGAATACATGTCTTATTTAATAAATATGTTATTCAGAAATATATTAAATATGCAATTCTTACAGATATTAACTGGAATATATGTCTTATGTAATAAAAATGTTTTCAAAAATATATTAAATATGCAATTCTTATAGATATTAACTGGAATATAAGTCTTATTTCATAAAAATGTTTTCAAAAATATATTAAATATGCAATTCTTATAGATATTAATTGGAATACATGTCTTATTTAATAAATATGTTATTCAGAAATATATTAAATATGCAATTCTTACAGATATTAACTGGAAAATATGTCTTATGTAATAAAAATGTTTTCAATTCAATTAATTTTGATTAAAATGTTTTATTAATTTTGGTATTTTTTTGTAGTCCTTAAAGAACAAAAACCTGGTCGTAATAGACATAATGACAGAATGATTCTATAATAACATACAAAAGTATCTTTAAAAGGCTTAAACTCTTGTAAAAATATATATCCGGCACAAGTTATTTGGTATAATCTTTATTGTTCTTTATTTTTAAATAATGTAAGTGTGAGCTAGATAAGAGTGAATAAAATAATAAAAAGAATATTTAATTTATTAATAAAATATTATTTATGAAATAATATTAAGATTTGAAAAACTTTTATCTACGTACATAAAAGTCATTGTCACATGACTGAAGCCATATGTTGTTCTATTTTATGATATTTTGCTCTTTTTTTACTAGGTCAAATGGATTAATGTTCATTATATTTGTAAAAATGATCATTATAACAAGAAAAAATGAAATTAATTCAACTGTACCTTTAAATATAAGCTTAAAACTGTTTGTTTGTTTGTTTTTAATTAATGATTAACGGGTATATAAATGTATTCAAGATATTCATTGAAGAATATTTATTGCTTATTTTCTTGATAGTTACTCTACTGCAGAAATCCTGCTGACATTTCTAAGAACTTGTTTTAAACTAAATTTCCCCTTTATATCTTCTCGGATATGCATATTTGTCATACCCATGCGTCAGAGGTAGGATAATGCACCTCAGGCTGTTTTTACAAAGCAGCAGTAAGAACCCATCTAGACTGATTGTGTTTACATTGATTCAGATTCAAACCAGATCTTAGAGCAGTTACTGTAAGCTCTCTAAACAGTGCATGAAGCAGGAAAACTGCAGGCAAAGAGAAGTGAGCTTCTGCGTGTCAAGGAAAGCGAACGGGTGGAAGGGAATATTTGAGGAATGTGGGTCACGTGCAGACAGAACGAGTGTAAGGAGCCGTGTCACATGAAGAAATATTAAAGAATGTGTCTCACTCCATCTTTATTTGTCTAGCACTGAAGATTTTGCTCATTTGTTTGCAGATGCTACATCGTTTGACATTGTGTAATTTAATGCAGTGACATTAAGTGTTCAGATTGAGCCGACTGTGTATTCAGCATTATATCAGTTCAGGACCGCGTTGGAGCTTGTGAAGTGAACTTGTGTCCTCACTTGATGTATTTGGAAGCTCTCTTTTTTGTCCGGTGCTGGCGTGACAGATACCTGTGAGTTGGCACTAAAAGGGCGACGCTGCTCTGGCATCGAGGTGAAGAAGGGGTCAGGCTGCAGTGTTTGTGTGCATGTTGACAGAACGTTTCATCTCATTTTATTACCCCCTTTCTCTTCTCCCCTTGCTCTTACTCCGCAGTCGTCCCGGACAGCTGAAGGAGCAGGCTCAGTCTGTCATGTCTCCCGGAAATCTCCCCGAGGACCCTGAATGTCTCACGGTGCCCAAGTATAAGCGAGATCTGGTGCAGAAACTGAAAATCCTGCGACAGGAGCTGTCCCAGCAGCAGCCGCAGGCGGGACACTGCCGTATCGAGGTCTCGCGTGAGGAGATCTTTGAGGTGAGGCCCTGGATTGTTTTACCTGCAGGAGGTTCATTTCAAATCTTTATTTATTAAAGAAATTCTTTTATTTAGCAAGGATGCGTTAAATTGATCCAGTGACAGTAAAATACATTTATAATGGTGCCCAAGTACAAGCGAGATCTGGTGCAGAAACTGAAAATCCTGCGACAGGAGCTGTCCCAGCAGCAGCCACAGGCGGGACACTGCCGTATCGAGGTCTCGCGTGAGGAGATCTTTGAGGTGAGGCCCTGGATTGTTTTACCTGCAGGAGGTTCATTTCAAATCTTTATTTATTAAAGAAATTCTTTTATTTAGCAAGGATGCGTTAAATTGATCCAGTGACAGTAAAATACATTTATAATGTTACAAAATATGTCTCTTTCAAATAAATTTTATTTTCCACATTTTATTCATCAAATACTCCTGAAAAAAATGTATTATGATTAAACATATTACGCAGCGCAGCTGTTTCCAAAATTGATGATAATCAGAAATGTTTCTTGAGCAGCAAATCATCATATTAGAGTGATTTCTGAAGGATCATGTGACTGAAGACTGGAGCAATGATCCTGAAAATTCAGCTTTGCCATCACATGAATAAATTACATTTTACAATATATTCAAATAGAATACAGGTATTTTAAATTGTTAATCATATTTCACAATATTACGTTTTTTTACTGTATTTTTGATCAAATAAATGCAGCCTTGGTGGCCATTTCACCATTTCGAGACACTTTAAAAATATATTTTTTTTAAACACAAAAACTTCTTTTTTTTTTATCTTACAGACCCTGTTGAAAAAAACAGCATATGCTGGTTAGGTATGTTTTGAAGTATGGCTGCTGGTTTGAGCTGGTTTAAGTTGGTTCTTAGCTGGCCATGTGCTGGTCCTAAGCAACTAGCTCCTGCTCAGGACCAGCTTAGGACCAGCACATGGCCAGCTTAAACCAGCTCAAACCAGCAGCCATGCTTCAAAACATACCTAACCAGCATATGCTGGATTTTACAACAGGGGACACATAACTTTTTGGTTTAGTTTAGTTTTGTTTATTACAACAGGGGACACATAACTTTTTGGTTTGGTTTAGTTTTGTTTATTACAACAGGGGACACATAACTTTTTGGTTTGGTTTGGTTTAGTTTAGTTTAGTTTAGTTTAGTTTAGGTTAGTTTAGGTTTTGGTTTTGTTTGTGTACTCCTCTCAACCAATCACAAAGCAGCAATATCCACATTGACTCTGTTGTTGTTTGAGGTTGTTAGTTTTACCAGTAACACCTGTCCGTCTGAATGAGCCTTTAATAGCGCTTAACAAGCCCAGAGGCCTGGTTAACCTTTACTGTGAGGGCCTTTGAGCTCTGCTGGATGTTACCCACAAGCTCTAAAGCATCAGTCATGACATTAAACTTCATTAGCATGCTGAGTTCAGCTAACGCGTGTGACTTGTACTGCACACGTTTCTGAGCCTCATCTCAGGCCTGCTGGAACAACATTTAGACCCCCCTTCTCTCTTAGCTCAGCTTGAAGTGATTTTTGGTCTGCACGTCTGTTTGTTCATCTGTTTTAGGGTGTTTATGGGTGTTGAGCTGGATGCACACAGACATTTCTGGATGCTGCATTCCAACATGTATCCCCACAGACAAGTCTGACCGTAAACAACGGATTATATGAACCCTTCGAATGAGTTTGGGTTCTTTTGAGTTTATTGGCAAGATCATAAGATGACAGATCAACTGTAGTAAATTGACGCATCTCCAAGGGCTGGTTGCAGCGTAAATGGCTTAACTTAAGCAATGAAGATTTGAGTGATGCATTTAACACAGTTGAAATGTATCTTGTGGAATCAAATCAAATGAAACTTGCTATCAAAGGATTTACAGAAAACAGAATTACGATCAGGTGGGAAAAAATAGCAGGTTATTTGGATCAGTTTATGTTTTCAATGAAGAAATTTGCCAGTCCATTTTATGTAGAGCAGTTTGAGCAGTTTCCATTTTAAACTATTTAACTAAAATAATTTACTATTTATTTGATTATAATAAATTTTTTCTCTGATTAGTTTTAGATACCATTCTTTAATATTATTGATATATTTTTAAGAATTTATAATAATTAGATTTTTTTTGTTTTGTGCATATACCAGGCTTATTATAGTCAAACAAAACTAAAACCACAAAATAAATGTTTGTTGCCTCAAACGTTAACTGAAATAAAACACTTAAACTTATTTTATTTCAGCTAGTTGCCAAGGAAACATTTTTATTTAGTTTAACTTAATGTACTAAAATAATTAAAAATCAAATAATTAAAAAAATAATTAATCAAAATATAATATATATATATATATCTATATAGTCATTAAAATAGTTTAAATAAAATAATAAAAATGAGAAGAACACGCACCAAAATTACTAAAACTAAAATAAAAATGAAAACAAAAAACTTATTAATAAAAACAGGCACATACTCAAAGAACATTGTTTATTACACTTGACGGATATTTAAAGCTAAATAAGTCTGAAACTAGTTTGTCAAACTAGTTACTATGCCCTTAGTGTGGACTTGTCATCTTAATTGAATTATGACCATACGGATGACTTGCATTCTTATGACCTTTCTGTGATCTTTCTTACATTTCAACACCACATCTCCGCTGTTTCCTCAGGAATCATACCGGCAGGTGATGAAGATGAGGCCGAAGGACCTGTGGAAGAGGTTGATGGTCAAGTTCAGAGGAGAGGAAGGTCTCGACTATGGTGGAGTTGCTAGGTATGAGACACAAAACCTAAAGCTGAGCATGAAATCAAAATTGGCCCCGATTTCTTACTTAAGACATTTATTGTGAATGATTCATCTGTGAACATTATTCAACAGCAAAACACGTCTTTGTAATTTGGAGGAAAATGTACATTTCAATAATATGTAGCTTTCTCCACTTTCTTGAACCATACATTTTTGAATGATATCCTATTACACTAATAAATGTATTCAAATAGGGAAGTAAAGTGGGTTATGAGTGCAGTTTCCTGCTGTCTTTTAACACTTGTGTGTCCATCTAGTGGTAGAACTAGAGTATAACAGTGTCAAAGTGGGCCATCATCGACTGAATGTCTGTCAGTAATTTGTGCCATTGCGTGTGTTTGTGTCATAGGGAGTGGTTGTACTTGCTGTCGCATGAGATGTTAAATCCATACTACGGACTGTTCCAGTATTCACGAGATGACATCTACACGCTACAGATCAACCCGGACTCTGCCGTCAATCCGGTAAGTGGACCTGGATCTTCCTCACGAGCTTCCCATTTACTCCGACAAATGCTAGTATGTTCCAAAAAACACTCATCTCTTTTTATTTGTTTATGTTTTTAGGAGCATTTGTCTTATTTCCACTTTGTGGGGAGGATTATGGGAATGGCTGTTTTCCACGGGCACTACATAGACGGAGGCTTCACTCTGCCCTTCTACAAGCAGTTGCTGGGGAAACCCATCACTCTGGACGACATGGAGTCAGTGGATCCAGATCTCCACAACAGCCTCGTCTGGATCCTGTCAGTGTGCTTTATACATCCATCTATAGCACTGTATTATATAATGTAATACAGTTATTACTCTGCCTGTATTTTCAGCAAAAGAGTGTCTGGAATGGTAAATGATAATATGTATATAATATAATAATAGCAATAGCGTCTATATATATATATATTAGGGTTGTGACACGGTACATGTATTCGTCCCGAACCGTCACAGTTCGGTTCATGCAGTCAGACGACGAATACAGTCAGTCATAGGCGATCAATCCAAATCCAAAGCACCGCTAACCGTCACAACAGGAAAGAGCAGAGGAAGAGACGATCTACGCACCAACCCAAAACAAGAATGTTCAGATGGAATGCCGGCTATAAATCAGAACCGGTTTTTAGTTTTATTTTGGCCGATCTCTATTCCAGAATTGCACACAAGCTGCACTGCAATCATTTCCCAAAATGTAATTTGTGTGGAATTTTTATGAGGTCTGTAAAAAGGAGAAAATACTGTATCAGGCAGATCAAGCTCACTGTTCGCGATGCTCGAATTATAGGAGGACAAATATGTGGGGGTTTATATGAATGTATCTCTGAGAGGAGCTGACCGTCTTCAATGGCATTTTCTTTTCCTCTTACCACCATATAATGCATATTAAAAATAGTTTTTATAAGCGCAGCTGCTTTGTTTACAGCGGTAACCAAGGAAACGCTGTATTTCTGCTGTTCCTTAAGCGCCACCTGCTGTCAGAGAATAAATCTGCAGTTTCATTCAGTCCGTCTGCTGTTTTTGTTTTGTGCAGGTGTCTTATGTAGCATAATTTCACAAATCTAAAGTCAGACCATTCTGTTTTTGCTTTAAATCTTGAAATTATATAATCTAAGTCAAATCAAAAACAACTGCTCATGCTACATGTATGTAGCACTACTGTCTTTTCAAAATAAAAAAAAAATAAAAAATCCTGATGTACCGAACTTGTATCAAACCGTGACCCCAAAACCGAGATACGTACCGAAACGTGATTTCTGTATACCGTTACACCCCTAATATATATATATATATATATACATACATGCTATTGTTAGTGCTATTACAACATAGACATATCATGTATCATTCCAGACACTCTTTTGCTGAAAATACAGGTGTGTGTGCATATGTGTATATATATATATATATATGTGTGTGTGTATCCAGACTGAGAGGCATCTGTAAAAATCTGATTGGAATCACATTTCAAACTACCTTCAAATGTGGTTTGAATCAGATTTGAGGGGGAAAAAAAATCTAATTTGCATGTTTTTTTGCTGTCTAGACTTTCAAAAACCCATCTGGATATAACATCTGGATATGCAAAAAAAAATCTGATTTTTTTTTCTGGCAGTCTGAACATACCCTAAGTGTCTTGTTCGTGTTTTTTGCGCAGGCTGTATGTGAACTGGCGGTTCCTGAGGGGCATCGAGGCTCAGTTCCTGGCCCTGCAGAAAGGCTTTAATGAGGTCATCCCACAGCACCTACTCAAGGCGTTTGATGAGAAAGAGTTGGAGGTATGAAAACTTACTTCAAGAAACATAAATCCACTTCAACCAGGCAATCGACTTGATTTCTTAGTCTCGATAAATGTGTAAAAGGGCATATTTCATTTGCTATATCAGAGCATGGCTAATGATTCAAGTGTGTCTCAATTTCAGCTTATTGTGTGTGGACTCGGGAAGATCGACATCAACGACTTCTTATGCACACCCCTTCAAGTAAAGTGTTACCCACATTTCTATAGACTAGTTATCAACCAATATGGTTTTTTCAAAGGACAGTGCCAATATTTAGAGAGCAGTGTAGTCAACAGTCAGTATAATGCAATGCATATATATATACATATATATATACACTAGGGCTGCATGATAAATCGCATGCAATATTTAATGCGCATCTTGTCAGTAAAGCCATTCTGTAACATATTCATGACATGTGTCATGTCATGATTATGAAGGTGTCATGTCAGTCTTATGCACACCCCTTCAAGTAAAGTGTTACCCACATTTCTATAGACTAGTTATCAACCAATATGGTTTTTTCAAAGGACAGTGCCAATATTTAGAGAGCAGTGTAGTCAACAGTCAGTATAATGCAATGTATATATATATATACATATATATACACTAGGGCTGCATGATAAATCGCATGCAATATTTAACGCGCATCTTGTCAGTAAAGCCATTCTGTAATCTGGTAAAGCCCGCACGTGATGGAGATTTACCGCTGATTACAGAACCGGCTTTACTGACAAGATGCGCATTAAATATCACATGCGATTTATCGTGCAGCCCTAATATACACACACATTCACAATATACTGTATGACTGATATTGCACAATTTAATTAGAGAACTTAATTTAAGTGTATTTATATTTAAAATATTATACACTACCTTTAAAATGTTAGAAGAAAATGAATACTTAAAATTCATTATTGATATAAATATTATATAAATATATATAGTATAGATATGCACTTTTGTATTTCTATTTTTCATTTTATGATATTATTTCCTTTTATTAAATTACAGAAATATTTAAAATATTATTTACTCTTTTTGTAAAAGAAAATAAACTATTACTTTTATTCAGCAAATGTACATTCAACTGTTTAAAAGTGTCCATAGATACTTTTGTAGTGTTATAGAAGATTTCTGTTTTAATTAAATGCTATTCTTTTGAAATTTCTGTTCATGAAATAATGCTGAAAAACTCTGTTTCCACAAACATATTAAGAAGTGTTTTCAACATTAATAATAATACAAATGTTTCTTGAACACAAAAGCAGCATATTATTATGATTTCCTAGGATCATGTGACACTGAAGACTGGAGTAATAATATTTCACAATATTACTGTTTTTACTGTACTTTCATCAAATAAATGCAGCCTTGGTGAGCATAACAGACTTTTAACCAACCCCAATATTTTTTGAACGGTAGTGTATATATGTGTATATTTTAAAACAGAAAAAGTGCATTATGTGCTAACAAAGCAGCAAGGAACAGCTAATGCTTGTTAAATGGTTACCAATATACTAATAATAATAAGATACAACAGTCAAACATTAGCCAATTAATCAGGCTATCACTAGTACAAACCATTTTCTGCACTAATTCACCACTATTCATTTCTTTCTAATTTCGCCTCAGCTTCAACCGTATCGACATTCCTCCGTACGAGGGCTACGACAAACTCTACGACAAGCTGCTGACGGCCATTGAGGAGACCTGCGGCTTTGCTGTGGAATGATCGTCCGCCGCCGGCGCTCGCAGAGGAACCTTTCTCCAGGCGGGACAGACCTGTCAGTCAGCCGGCAGACGTGTGGGCCTCACGAGGGGCTGAGGAAGGGTGGATTATACCGCAGCACTCCACACCTGATGCTGCTATACACATCTTTCTGCATTATTTGAAACGAAGAGAAGAAAACAACGTATCTTTTCAGCTGCTAGTAACTCTTTTACTTACTATTTTGGAACCTCCTCTTCCTCTTTTTGTTTTTAAGTCCATACGTTAATTTTTTAGCATTAAGACAGCATATTAACAGTATTTCATGTAGCATTTTCACAGACTAGACTTTAGGAGAGGCCGGACTTTAGAGGGGCACGCAGAACTAGAGCGCGCCGGCATGAGCTAACGCAGAAGCACTACTGTCCTTACCGAAGACTAGACGAGAGGAAGACGCAAACGTCAACAAAAGACTAAGTTTGTCATTTGGGACCTGCACAGGGTGCTGATCTTTGGCCCGCTCGGACCTTAGTAAGCCACGAGATGAATTCCTTTCGATCAGGGAACTCGGCTCCGCTGGCCTCTTCTGGGCTGCCCTACACCAGACACCATCTTGACTACCTGTGCTCCATTCCTCAAGACTGGTGTCGTCCGCAGTCGGACTTATAAGCTTGTTGAAAGTGAATGAACGAATACATGAATTATTTGGTAGGTAGGTAGGTAGGTAGTCTAGCTTTATTTTTATATGAGAGGCGTGAGAGGACGAGGTTAAAGGAGTAAAACTATACAGATATAATATATTGGCATAGTCGCAGGAACCGTTGCCGATGTTTCCAGAGCAGAAAATGAAGTTGAGCCCATTGAAATGGCTTCAGTGAGGCTGGCTTTGGCTTGCTTTGAATGTTCAAATTCCATCTTTTTTTTTTAGAAAAATTGTGAAGAAAAACAATTGAATATGTTGCATTACTGGTGTCAACTTTTTGGTAAACTGTATTCTAATCTGTCTCCGATGTCAATCGAACCCTTTAATAGATTTAAATATGATGCATATGTATGAGCATGTTAATGAGATGTGAAGTGTCTTCCATTTCATATCTTCCCATTATATTGTTACCATTTATTTTCTGAGCCTGTTTTTTATTAGAATTATTATTATTTCCTAAAAGAAGAAATGCAACTGTTTACCCGTTCATGGAAATCAAGGGAGAGAAGTGTCCATATTGTTATTTTTGTAATTTATTAGTAACCCATTGTAGTACCAATTTACTGAATTGTTTTACCATCACAAATGTCACTGGCCTTCAGTGAGCGTTACAGACGAACTGAAAGGAGGATCGCTGTACTAAAGAACAAGAAACAATTCTATCTTTTATAGAAATACATCAGCTTTAGGTGTAAATCTAGCAGAAAACAATAAAAGCATGTCTCGTGTGCTCTTTGTAAGCCTCCGAAATGCACAGCTTGAAACCCTGTTCCTTCAGGATTATTAAAAGAAACTGCATAAATAAACAAATGCGGTTTTATATATATATATATATATATAAATATATATATATATATTGTTGAATGTTTCTGAGATGCTGCCTGTCTATAGCAATCCTCTATGACCATGGACTGTTGTTAAGAGTTTGCATACGCTGAAAATGAGCTACACATCTTTTGTTACTTTTTTTATAAATTTGAGTGTGAAAGAAGGTGAAAAAAAACAAAACAAAATAAAAAAAAAGCCTCTGGATGGGTCAGTTAAATATTCGGGGATGGTGCTTTGTATAGTTATAGAATATTGTTCATATATGTGGGTCACTGACTGT